GCCCTGTCGCTTGTAGAGCACCTGAGCTTTGCTACCCGGGGTTGTACCCAACAAGGATATGGAAAAATGAAACCAGGTGCCAAACGGAAACGCCCCTCCTAAGCCCTTGTTGCGCTCGTAGACGCCTCATATGCATCATGAATGACAGAAGTGTGAAGAAGTGATACGGAAAGAAGAGTAAGACTAGCAGTAATGACGACGACTAGCACAACACGACCACTACAGCCATCACCACCGCCACGACAACAACTGCCTGTGCTGCTACTGCTCCTGGTACTACCGCGACGACGGTGACACCGACGAGGACGACACGACAAAGTCGACGACGACGACGACGAGGACCGGGACAATGACCAGAGACACTGGCAGCGGCAGCAGCAGCAGCANNCAGCAGCGGCAGTAGTAGCAGCAGCAAGGAGTTCGTGTAGAAGCCTGTGCATTAACAGACCACGTGTTGGTTTCGATGACGGCCCTCGAATGCAAGTTAACACGAAAACATGTCTTCGAAACCACTATCACTCTACATCCCAAGTCCCAAGCAATTGCCGAATGCCGAGTACAATCGCACGTCGACTGAACTTCATACCACTAAACATATTGGGAAAAAAGTTTCCCCAATATATTTCGTCGACTGAACTTCTTACCACTGTAGTTCAAGATGAGGGCATGCCCTTCTGTCTCTGAGCGCTGGGCCGTCAGCTCGATCAACTGACGAAGCCCAAGAACTCAACAAGAACAACCACGAAGTAACACACCCCGTCCCGACATTCTGACATATTCTGCCCCTTAGCCCCTAAAGCGCGAAGAAAGCACCGTAAATGATCCCAACCGGAGCCCCGACTCCATCCAAGATCCCATCCAAAATCCCAGCGCCAGAACAACGGCCCGGGCGCGAAGTTGAAGGCCACGAAGAGCATGTTCTGGCAGGACAGCCCCGCTGAAAAGAGGACCTGAGGCTCCAATCCCTCAGCGATTTCTACTTTGGATTAGGACGGTTTAAGGTTTTTTGGGGGGTTCAGGGTTTTAAGGGGTTCAGAGTTTTAAGGGGCTTAGGGCTTTCGGGTTCAGAGCTTGTCTTCGGGCGTTACAAAGCCTTAGGCACTCCTCTTGCGCAGGGTCTCAGCCTAAGCATGTTTCGGCCGTGGCCTCATCCGGTGCCAAAGTCCAGTCTTCCAGACCTCCAGGCTAGGCAGTGAGTGTAGGGGCCTGGCTGACTCCAGTAGGGTTTTGGGGGCTCCTCTTACAGTATGTACGATGAAGCTCAGGAGCACGGGCAGTAGTACTCGTGTTTATTCAAGCTTCTAAAACGGCCGGACACCAACCCCCTTCCTGGGCTTCTGGCCGACCCTACACTCCCTCGCTGGGCCTCTCGGAACCGAAGCAGCCCAGAGGAAAAAACACCTACGGCTTCAGAATATGTTATCGTCTTAAGGTGCTTAGTGGTATGTAGGGCCTGGGGGGGTCTGAGGGGCTTTATGTAGGCCCCGGCCTTTGACGCAGAGGTCGCGCTGGAAGCCCGGGTACTTCTCCATGAGGCCTTTGAACATCCTCAGAGCTGAGAGAGTTGCAACTCCCCCTTCCAAGGCGCTTTCGAAGTCCCGCCTTCTTGCAGGCTAAGGCTGGCGAAGACAGGGCACAGGGAGAGAAAGGAAACGGCTATTCAGCACCCCCTCCGAAGCCGAGTTCAACAGTGGGAGAGCGGGGGGGCCGAGGGAGGGAAGGCGGGAGCTTCATCTTCGGCTCTAAACCGCAGGGTTCCATGGCTGTCATGAGGGGGAGGGTTTGGGCCTCAGGCAGTTTAGGGTTTAGGGCGGTTAGGGTTTGGGGTTTAGGGTTTAGGGTTTAGTTGCTTCAGGGTGAAGCACGAGCTTGACGAGACAGAGGAACAGCTCCCGCAGAGGCGTTCACAAGTGCAAGAGCAACATGACGCTCCCAGGCACCGTCGTAGCCACAGTTTGTTATAGCTGGAGGGGCCAACAGTGCCCGAGCGACCATCATGATTAACCTAACCGCATTTATCTCAGGCTGGTGTGTGACCCTGCCCAAGATGCAGAAAAAATAAGAAAAACAAGCCGGCCAAGCAACTGATGATGACTCAGAATCGCACCTCACGTGCCAGCAGGGACGCAAGTGTGCCCATGATTGGATCGACCCGAAGAAGAGAAAAATGAGCTCTGAGCTCTGAAGGCTGAGGGCTTGGATGGGCTTGGACGGGCTTGGGCTTGATAGTGCCGTTGCCCGAAACCTTCTCTCTCTCTCTCTCTCTCTCTCTCTCTCTCTCTCTCTCTAAGGCGAAAAGCGAGTCCAAGTCAGCCCCGAAAGGTCCGAAAAGCCCTGCCCTAAAGGCCCCAATAAGGCATCCAGGAATGCCCACAGCCGAAAGCTGCAAAGCCGACATTTTAGTTTAAACCTTGCAGCCCAAAAGCCCAAAAAATCCCAAAAGAGCGGCTAAACACCAACTAAGCCCTAGAGGCCCTAGAACCTAAGCCTGAAACCCCAATATGAGGCCCCAAACTTCAAAACCCGAATAGAACCCTGCAACCTAAACCCCACAGCCCCTCAAAACGGCAAAAAAACCCTCAACCTCAAAGCCTTCTAGCACCTCTGCCCTCCCCCGCCCCCCCAAGGGGCCTAGAGCTTCGGAGCACAGCTGCCCATGCAGCATGTCGGGAAGCAGCGTGGCCATCTCTCCTCGGAGTGACGACACCACCGCAACTCCGAGCCCCACATCGCAATGGACGGTCCGCGCGCCAAGTTTAGGGGTTTAGGGGTTTAGGGGTTTGGGGGTTTAGGGTTTAGGGTTAACTAGATCGCAAGATAACAAATAAGGTCACAACGCGGTGGCCCTTCATCCTGGGGTATTGGGCTCTCTGAGTCGGGTCTGGCTCTGCAACTGCAGGGCATTTCCCCTAAAGGGAGGCCCAGCGTCGTTTGCTTGGCAAGGTAACTCTCTTCACAGTCTGCTTCAAGTAGTTCTTCAGCTGCCGCTCCAGCGTCCAGGACACAGGAAACGTCTCGAGGAAATCCTCGGAGAGTTAGGGGTGCGGTTTCGGGTCCCGGGGAGTTTCTACTCGATGAAGCCAATAGACATGATTCACGGCCATGACATGGGGAAGCCGTTGCTGTTGCCCCACAAACCCACAAGCCTGCACGAAGTCTTAAACAAGCTTTGCTCAACACTTAGGCCCCTCCCTGCCAGGTGCTTTGTACACGCACAGAGACTCAACTAAAGCAGTTGCCATCAGCGTCCAAGTGTCGGACAGCTGACAGTATGCCTCGCCTTGCTGCCGCTGCACACGCCGGATGTCCTCGAAAGAAGATTGAGGGTACGAGGCCGAGAAGTGAGAATTGCGTGTGTTGGTGAGTTGTAGCACATTGTAGGATTTAGGATGGATTGAGGTGTTGGGCTTGGGAGATTAAGGGCTTCTGGTGTCGTTTGTAGAGCAGGCGCTTCTCTTTCTGGCGGCGCTTCACCAAAAGTGGGCTTCGGGAAAGCCTACGAAAGCCCCAGGGCCCTACTCCACAACCCGGATCTCCGACATGTCGTTGGTCACGATGGACGTGAAAATGGAGGCCTCAGCAACGAGGCATGGGCACTCCTCCTGCTGCTTCGACTTCTCTTCGACTTCCTTGCTCCCAAGCCTAGGACCCTGCAGCTCAAGGGCTCTCAGGTTGTGGGAACAAGCTCATTTTTTTGCAGCTGAGGGCGAAACGGCTAAAGGTTGGGATTCAGTGCAGCTTTTTGAAGCTTGGAATTTCGGGTGTTGCATTTGGTTTTCAGGGTTCGCCTGCCCTACATGCACGGGCTCGGCTTCAAGCGAACACGCATGCAGCAGGACCCTACTGCTGATGGACGTGACAACTGTAAGACAGTGATGGGAAAATCAAACTTTAACCTGCATTGAGCCTGGTTCGATTCTTAGGACCTTAGGAAGTTGGGAATGTGACACATTCTGCGAACCCCTATTCAATACTGAAACGCATTTTTGGAATTCACCTTAATCCGCAACACATCTTAATTCGTAAAACAAGCCCTTACATTATATGGTATGTTGACGTACAACAGGGAGCCCTCTAACTCTATATTCTATGATTATGGTACCTCCACTATATTCTATATGTGCTTTAACCATAGCCGTAGCAAAAGCCGTCTAGATTCTGCTATATCTGTCCCAAAGTCATAGGAAGAAGCCGTCTACATCCTACGGTTTATTTCTCAAAACAGAATAGTGGCAGTAGCTCGACTGCGGGAATACGAGATGCACCCCAAAATACAGGTGGAAACCCCAAACCCACTGCCCTAAACCCTAAACCCTAAAACCCTAAAACCTAAAACCCTAAACTCTAACCCTAATACCCTAAACCCAAAACCCTAAACTGGTAGGCCTCTGTAGCTCTGCTTCGGCTGCGCAAGCCCTTGA